TGCGCGAGATCGCGAGAAGACGTAAGTGTAAGAGGTAACGACTCAGAGATCAAAACCAAAAGAAAAGCACTAATTACAGCTGGCCCATTGTGTCTGCATGCTGTGTGTTGTGGTAGCCAAACAATACTTATTCACATGTCGGTTCAGAAAATACCCAGGATGCACGGCGCATCTTGAAACAGAACCGATTTACTTTTTTCGCTCGAATTTGGTCCTTTTGACATATAACATTAGGTGCTTCGTTTACCACAATTCTCGAGGAACTCAAAATTGGAAGATTCGTGAAGAATGAAAGTGTATAAAAGATTATTTTCATACTAAAATTTAAACAGAAACTGAGATAGAGAAAAGAAGTGTCCCTGAGAAACGCTGCCTGAGAAAGGCACAGATGCCGGGGTGAAATCCTGAATTGTTTCGTTTTAGGACAACCTTTCTATGCATCTCCCTTTCATAAAAAGATGCACTATCATATTTTAAAAGCCAAAATTATTGTCAATAATTACTTGTACTGTTTTACTATTTTTCGGATAACTGACGAATGAGTTGAATTAAAATTGTACCAACACTGAGCCCAGAAACGGAATCAACAAAAAGACAAAATTTGAAATTTTGAACAACACATATGAAAGAGCACACAAATATGTATATGTATGGAATCAGTGGGAAAATAAAGAAAATCCATGACAAAATTCAAGCAAGGAGAGTTGTGGATGGATATCGCTGAACCAGCTGCAGAATCTATTATGACATCTATCCATCGCTAGCCGGGAAATCTTGCCTAGGTGTCTGAAGGCGGCAGGTCAAGATAAGGGATTCCCTAGCACATCGTATTCCCTGCGAAGATACGCCATTAGCATTAAGCCAATAAAGGATGCCGAGCGATGAAAGGGGATGCAAGTTGTAAATCTCCCAGCCAACCATAGGTCTACATGCCTAAGGAAATGCGCTCCCGAAATTGTTCCAATTCTACTACTATTTGAGCGAATAAATTAACGAATAAACAGATAAAAATGATCCGCATGATAAATTTTATCTGCGTAATTTTATTGCAACGCTCTCGTGTCGATACTCAGCAATAAAACAATTTTTGTGATATTTTGCGCCAAAGAAGTTATAAAATGGTTATATTTTTCAGCCATTTGATAGACTATGTGTCAAAGTGGGTAGTGCTGAAAAAAAAACTATCAAAAAATTAAGGATGTCCGAATCTGAATAAATGAACAAAGTGCTGAGCACTAATCGGCTCCATTGGCATGGGCCATGCCCGCAGCCTGCATATTGAAATTCCGGAACAAACGTGTGCGCATTTGGCCTCTGCAGCGATTTTCGAGCGTCAGCAAATGCACAGATCAAAATTTAACACAAAGAAAGTGTCTGTCCTTGCGGAGATATAAACATGTACTGAAGTCGACTTGATATCGATTTCATGATGCGATGTTGATGCGTATTTGTGCTTAATATGGCCTTTTTTTGCTGCCACTTTATCTCTTTCCATGCTGTACTGAACTTTTGAAATGAGAAGTATCACTATGGAACCTTCACTTAATAATAGCAAGAGAATTTTTATCAAAAAAATGTACAGGATAAAATAAAAGCCATTGAAGCCGAATAAAACTCTACGACTCGCTTGCTATTTCTAAACTGGTCACTGCGAAGGCCATTTGATTATCACCTTTGTTTATTTGAAAAAAAGCTACCTTTCTAGAATCGTTACAGGGCACGGACTTGGTGATACGAAGGGTAAGGCCTGTGTGGAGCTCAACTTTGAGCCTTAATGTTTGATATTTGCTACTGCAAGAATGAGAGAGAAATTTGCTGCTGACGCCGAGAAGTTCTTTGAATTGCGCCACGCACTCCACTTTTAGCTAGAGTCATACTGCCATTTGAAATGGGATATTTTCTATTCACTAACTTCTGGGTGTCAGCGTATGGACAGATCAGTCACTTTACTTCTTGTACAAGGCTGGCAGCACTTAACCGGCTTTGGAGTGGAAGATGGCTCCTTTCGGCCGGCGACATTCTGTTTAAGTTTTGATCTTCAAGCCAGTGACGGGTGATTTACAGCGATACTTGCCGCCTAACCACC